TGTAAATAGAATTACTTCTTATTAGTTGTAAATGTCTCTTCACACTGAGCACAAGCAAAAGGACGTACATGCATTTTACTGTGGGAACGTAGCTGATATGCTAGCATAAAACGTTTTCCACATTCGGAACAAACGTGTGGCTTTTCCCCACTATGTCGCTTCATATGAACATTGAGTGCTCCTTTACGAGTAAAACCTTGTTCGCACTATAGAAATATGTATACATATTTTATTATATATAATTTTAAACAAATATAATTGGAATATTTACTTCAGTACACGTAAATGGCTTTTCACCTGTATGTCTCCTCATATGAATTTTAAGTTCGCCTTTAACGGAATAATTTTTATTACACTAAAATAGTATCTTAATATAATGTTATTCTTCAATGAAATAATTCAAATATTTACTTCAGTGCACGAATAGAGGTTTTTTCCAGTATGCCGCTTTATATGTCTATTAAGATTCAGCTTAACCGCAAAACTTTTATTACACTATAAAAAATATATTATTAAAATTATATATAATTTTAAAATATTACAATTAAAGTATACTTCAGTGCATGTGTAGGGTTTTTCTCCAGTGTGCCGCTTCATGTGATTATTGAGTGCATATTTGGTAGTAAAACTTTGATTGCACTATAAAAATGAATGCCTGTTATATAATATTAAACAAAAATAATTGATATATTTACTTCAGTGCATATATAAGGGGTTTCGCCAGTGTGAGAATGGCGATGGTCTTTCAATTGACACCCTGACAGAAATTTCTTGTCACAAAAGTCACAAGTAAAACGTTTTTCTTTATGTCTACGTTTATGCTTTCTGCAAAATATTAAAAATTAATTTCAATAGACTTTTTAAATGTATAAATCATTTATAACTTATTACATTATAACTTACTTTAAAATCGACAAACTGGGAAAACTATTTTTACAAATAGGGCACATAAATTCTTTAATTTTTGCAAGTTGTGTGGCAAAATGCCGTTTTAAGTGTTTTCGCAAACTATCTACACCAGAGAACACTTTATTACACACTTTACAAGTGATGGTTTTTTTTAAGCTTCCTGCGCACGATGTGTACTTTTGATGACGTTTTAAATGGAAACTGCGAGTGAAATCTCTGCCGCATATTTTGCAGGCCCACAATCTTCCAAGACTTGCGTGTTGCTTTTCGTGTAACTTCAATAGGGTAGCTGTCCGTAATTTTGCATTACAAATAGAACAAGGAAATTCATCGAATTCCGAATGAATTATAAAAATATGTCGTTCGTAACTCAGTTGAGTTTTGAAGGATTTTGGACAATCAAAGCAATTTATTTTTCCACGCTTCACAAGAACAATATGAGTTAAAAACAATTTCATTAGTAAAATAAAATATTGTTTCATATATAAGGTCTGTTCCACGAGCTACTTCTAGTAACTTTGAGTAACACTGTGTATACACAAGTGCGTTCCACAAGCAAATTGAGTTTTACTATGAGTAGCTCGTGGAACAGACCTACTCTATAAGAATTTCGTGATAATCAATAAATATTTTATGAAGCGATACTTAACTAATATTTTTAATAGTTAGACGTATTTTTATATATATATAATAAGTTAAACCAAAAGAATTAATTATTTTTTATTAATTATATATTATTAATATTTTCAGTAATTTGCTAATGTATCAATAATAGTCATTATTTTATTAAAAATAAATAAATTTATAAAAAAGAAAGCTTAGTTTTTTTACATATTTAGATATAATTTTCTTGTTTTATGAACTATTCGTACATTTTCAAATGATATGGCTGGAGAAGGCAATGGAAATTAAGATTGATTGTTCTTACTATACCAATTTGTAAAGAAGACAAAGTATGAATTAGAGTATAGACAAAATTACAAGAGCTACCACAATATAATTTTAAATATTTTGAAAAGACCATAAAAACTGTCTTAATAATACGTTATATGTATTTAGAAACTACTTTGGATTAACAGACATAGACAAAGAAAGTTAATAATTTTGTGTTAATAGAACATTTTAACTTTGGACATTTTGAACGAGTATATATACAAAAATATTTAATTGTATTTGCAATTGAAAAAAGAGTTTTTTATACAAACGGCAAGATCAAAATCATAATTTTATTCTAACTTTGGTGAATATTAAATAATCCTAATTATATACATTTATGAAATTATCAGATTATGATAAACTTACATGAAATGTATCATAACTTTCACCGCAACAAAAGCATATATTCTCCTGCTCTAGTTTAACCGCATCCTCTTCGATTTTCTGTATGTTTGTTATCATTTCTGCTTTTCGAGTGTGATAACTACTATTCAAATAGCACACAGCTAAATGTTTTTTAAGCATCTGTAAAGTATAAGCAAAGTATAAGACATAAATAAAAACTGATTTAAATAACAATTACAGTACTTACACCAAATACTTTAAATGACTTAGAGCAATTGTCGCATTTATGTTTTTCAGTACGATCCTCAACTGCTTCTTTTGTACCGTCAGTATTCAAATGGTCCCTATCATTTATATTAGATATTTTGTCCTCCGATTTCACTATATCATTATCCGTTAATGAAAAACCAATGTTTGGGCCTACTTCGTCTTTAATGGAAACGGTTTTTAAAACGTCGTGACTCATTTTTTTTTTATTTTAGCTGTCCTGGTCAACTTTTCAATTTATTCATGAGAGTGTTTAAATGGAACGAATACCATTTAGTTTTAGCAACAAGGAAAGTCAATCATTTTCAACGGTGAAATTTCTTATTATTATTAAAATAATCATACTTTAAATTATATATTCATATTTCGAAAGTGAAAATTTTAATTTGTAATATAACTAGTTTTATGTATTCGACATAGGGTTAACATAGGGTTAAAAGTTGAGGCAGTTTATTATTGGATTTTATTCAGTACATTATTTACTCGAGATTATACTGAGAAACCAAATAACTTATTGATGATATTATTTGCAATTTATATTTATGTAAATGAAAACACGAACAAATTCGAAAACTTCTTATGTAGTACAACTAATATTTGTTACTTTTTTAAAATGTGTCAAAAGTGCAAACAAAAAAAAAACAAACTTCAGAGTTGCAATTTACGCAACGAGATAAATTTATATACACACGGAGAAGATTTATTTTATACACTTATTCAACCGCAGCGGATTTCTCATTCTTAGTGACGTTCAATGAATTTAGTTATATTGTCATTACGACGTCAAACAATCGTAGTTAACCAATCCGAAGCATTAGCTCCTCCACCAATCCTTTAAATGTTTTTTTCTTAGAAGGGTTCGAATAAAAATGAAAAGACAACATAAATTTTAGTTAATTTGTTGAAATTTGGCTGACGCTCTTTCGCGTATTACCAAGTACTCATCATCAATGGTCTTAGGAAATATTCGAATTTTTTAATTAGTTTATAGTCGGTATACAATTTGTGACTTTTTTTGTGTTGGAAAAAGTTCGTTATGGCCCAATGTTTCCCTGGGAACAAATGAATATAATTTGTGCGGACTGCAAGTGCCAGGTTTAGAATTCATGTCTGTTAAATTAGAAGTGATAACTAATCGTTTTTTTCCACAAGTAGCCAAAGCTACACAAACTTACAATGCTCAAGTTCCTTAGAATAGTGTCACTTAAAAAACAAAAACTTAAGTATTTTGATAAGTATTATTATTTCTAACACTTAAACGGCAAGACAAATGTCTTTTAGGAAGTAGTAGTAGTATCTTTTAAAATATATATTTTTCATTGATTTCATTCAGTAAAGCGATAGTGTTATTGATTGCAATGATCATCAATCAATTTACCTGTTAACTTATTTATTTTATTATCTTTATTTAGGCTAATGTGGTCAGATCTAATACACAAAAATAATCTGCTTATTTGATTTAATTAAATAATTATTTTAAAACAATAAATTTAAGTGAAAAAATTAACTTTTGTATTTATAAATTAAATAACATTTATTAATTACTTTAAATTATTATATATGTCTTCTATATAACTATATCATAAATTGAAGTATAAAAATTATATTTTATATTATAATACAATAGAATTGTTATATAACAAAATAATATTTGTAATTGTATTCGTTTTTTAGTGGACTTTATGTTATTTTTATATTACTTTAAATAATATATATATTATATTACTTTAAATATATATATTATATATGTATGTAATTACGATAAAGATTATGATAACGATTGTGTATGACAGAGAAGATTTCGATACATGTGAAAAAAATGTTTCAACAAATAAATTTTCGTAAGAAAACTCTCGGTTTATTTTTTCTCTAATGTCTGATTTTATTTAGGTTGTAGTAATATTTTCAATTAAAATTACACTTAAATACTTAAGCTAAATTTATTTATTTTTTTTTTAAATTGTAAAAGTTTTTAGTATAGTATGTTTCAAAATAAAAACTCAATGTAATTATCGTTACAACTAATAATATGAAAGGTGAATTTGAGCATTATATTGTAACAGATTTCTAAACAATGATTTTGCATATTCTCGCAAGCGTCTTGAATAATCACAATATCCACGTTTTATAGTCACAATTTTCCACAACTTTTCAAATTACTTAATATCAGCAAATTTAACATACTTCTAATATAACATATTTATAATAAATTATTTATTATAATTATAATCAAAATTAACTAAGAAACATACATATTAACTAACATATACTGTTAAACTCAATTATTCCAAATAAAATTTTTGAATATTACTTTTTATTTTAAAATAATTTGCAATTTGCAATAGTTTTTATTGTTAAAAAATCTATTATGATGGTAAAAGCATGTTTCCTTTCTAGCTGTTGATTCTTTGAAGGAACAATACTTTTCAGCTTTGTTTATATATCATTCCTTTCTTTTAGTTTTTTTATACAGCAAATGTCACCGCCGACTGATCGATTATCTGCAAAGACACTTCTCAAATACTCGAAAAAAGTTTTTGGTGTTTTTTCCATTTTCTAATAATAAGTTCTATGTATTTGCTTCATTAGTTTCTGATTTTATATATTCTAATTCTGCAACGCCACTTTTGAATGAACTAGCTGGAGTATCGGGAACAGTGGTGTCCGGCTCGGTTTTTATACTCTGATTTTCTAGTGTCATAGAATTGTATTCTTCGTTTTCTAATAATATTTGCTCTGTGCTTATTTCACATACTTCATCCTTTATAAATTCTTGGACAATAGAAGAATTTTCTTCACGATATTTTACGGGTAATTTAATTTTTCTTTTAGGTCTTGTAATATTTTTCATTTGATTTTTATCGGAACATGGCTTAAATTTCTTGTCAAAACTCGCTTCGTCTCTACGACGTTTTTCCAAATCTTTAAATTGTAAAAATTTTATATAGAAAAAAATTATTTAAAATAATTCAAAAGATTTATGTTATAAAATAAATGGATATAAAAGCTGTTATGAAGTTTGAAAAACTTATTCGTAAACTTAAAAAGAATAATAATAAAAATTTAATACATAATATTACATGGTTCATTACGAAATGGCATAAATCCAGGCTATGATCACTTGATTCAAAAACGAAAAATTATCGTGTGGGAAGATATACAAAGATATATTTTTCTTAGTAGAAATAGTTTGTTCAAATGCCTTAAATTATAAGTCAGTTTTTTATTTATTAAATATAATTTGAATTGATATTTAGTTTACGTTTACATTATCAGAATTAATTCGATATATGTGCAGTAATAAATGCTGTATATTTGAACTTAAATTAATTCAAAATTATGGCGATTAAATCTTAAAACCGTAACTTCACGTTTTAGTCTAAAACTTATGGAAAACAATTATAAATTTAAATAAAGATTTCTAACCTCAAAAATATCTATTATTTAAAGAAATAATTAATCATATTATAATTAAATTCTTAAATCATAAATATTTTACACATATTGAAAATACTCTACCTAAATGAATTCCCGTGTTATGATGAATTTTCAACTCATCCTCTGTCGAATATATCGCTTCGCAATCTTTGCACTTGAATTTATGTCCCTGAGGTTCATTTTTCTGTTTGTTTTCAGATGAATGAGTTTCAATATGTTGTTCAAGTCTGCAAAGTTAAGCTATTAATAAATTTATTTTTTATAAATATAAATAATTATTTACTTCTTATTGGTTTTAAATTTTTCTTCACACTGATCACAGGCAAATGGGTGTAAATGAGTTTTTCTGTGATAACGTAGCTCAATTTCCTGTAGAAAACACTTCCCACATTCATTGCAAACGTGTGGCTTCTGGTCTGCATGTCGCTGCATATGAATCTTTAGTCTCTGCTTAGACGCAAAACTTTTATTACACTAAAAAAAATATAATTACATATTATACTTAAGCTTATATATAAATAATTTTAATATACTTCAGTGCATGAAAATGGCTTTTCACCTGTATGTCGCTGCATATGAACCTTGAGTCCTTGCTTAGCAGTAAAACTTTTATTACACTATAAAATATATAATCTCTTATTATATTTAATCTTACATGATAAAAAATGGAATACATACTTCAGTGCATGAGTAGGGCTTGTGTTTACTATGACACTTCATATGATTATCGAGTAAGCTCATGAAAGCGAAACTTTTATTACACTATAAATAAATATACTTATTATATTAAAACTTAATTGAATACGTTTAAAATATATACTTCAGTGCATGTGAATGGTTTTTCTCCTCTATGCTGCATTATATGAATCTTAAGTTTGTCCTTAGAATAAGCTTTATTACACTATAAAAAATTTAGTTCTTATACATGATATTAAATAAAGTAATTTAAACATATACTTTAGTGCATGGGTAGAGTTTTTGACCAGTGTGTTGCTTCATATGGCGATAGAATGTGGTCGTGTAAGAGAAACTTATATTACACTATTAAATATGAATATATTTTTATTTAAACTTATATATAAAATAATTAAAACATATACTTCAGTGCACGAGTAGGGCTTTTCACCGGTATGTCGCCTCATATGACATTTAAGTGAGCTCATTGTAGAAAAACTTTGATTACACTTAAAAATTATATAATTATTATTTTTAATTTTATATAAAATAATTAAAAGATATACTTGAGTGCAAGAGTAGGGCTTTTCGCCAGTATGATGCCTCATATGAATATTGAGTGAACACTTCATAGAAAAACTTTTATAACACTAATAAAAATATAGACTTCTTATATTGAATCTTAAATTAAAAATAATTAAAATAAATACTTGAGTGCATTTGTAGGGTTTTTCGCCAGTATGATGTCTCATATGAAGCTTGAGTCCTTGCTTAACAGCAAAACTTTTGTTACACTATTAAAAATAGATCTAATTATTATATTTAATTTTATTTGAAAATAATTGAAAAATATACTTCTGTGCATGGGAATGGTTCTTGGCCTTTATGTCGCATCATATGAACATTGAGTGAACTCTTAATTGGAAAACTTTGATTACACTATTATAAATATATATTTATTATATTCAATCTTAAATGAAAATAATTACAATATTATACTTCAGTGCATGAATAGGGCTTTTCACCAGTATGTCGCCTCATATGACTTTTGAGTGAGCTCATTATAGAAAAATGTCGATTACACTTCAAAATTAAATACTTATTATTTTTAATCGAATATAAAATAATTATAATATGTACTTCAGTGCATTTGTAGGGTTTTTCACCAGTATGTCGCCTCATATGAATCCTGAGTGTACTCATAATAGAAAAACTTTGATTACACTATTAAAAATATATATTTATTATGTTGAATCTTAAATGAAAATAAGTATAATATTATACTTCAGTGCATTTGTAGGGTTTTTCACCGGTATGTCGCCTCATATGAATTCTGAGTGAGCTCATTGTAGAAAAATGTTGATTACACTTAAAAAGTTAAGAAATTATGTAATTATTATTTTTAATATTATATAAAACAATTGAAATATATACTTCAGTGCATATGCATGGTTTTTCACCAGTATGCTGGTTCATATGAAGAATAAGTGAGCTCTTAACAGTAAAACCTTTATTACACTATTAGAAATATAGACTTCTTATATTGATTGTTAAATTGAAAATAATTAAAATATATACCTCAGTGCATTTGTAAGGTCTTTCGCCAGTATGTTGTCTCATATGAATATTGAGTCCTTTCTTAGAAGCAAAAATTTTGTTACACTATTAAAAATATTTTTACTTATATTATTTAAATTTAAATAAAATTTATTAAATTATATACTTCAGTGCACGTATTAAGTTTTTTACCACAATGATACCTTATATGATAATTCAGTGACCTTTTGAGAGAGTAACTTTTATTGCACTAAAATAAAATAATAACAATATACACTTATTATGTTTATTTTCACAACAGTAATTATTATATTCACTTTAGCACAGGAGTATGGTTTTTCACTGTTGTAAGAACGATTGAGGTTATTCTGTACACCCAATTTCAGCAATTTCTTTTTAAAAGAGTCGCAATTAATATATTGCTCATTTCTGTTTTTACTTTTATGAACACTGTAAAAATTTGAATTATGATATTTATTTTCTTTATTTATGTATATATCACTTACTTGAACACAGTTGATTCGTTTTCCATAATTAATTGCTCAGTAACTGTTTCAGTTTCACTATTTTCTATTACTTTTTGTGAAACACCGCCATAATCGAGAGGTATTCGATCATTTATAATTGTACCGTCTGGAGTTTCAGTAACAGCAGATTCTGGTTCATTTTTAATAGTCTCATTTTCTATTGTTATAATACTATACATTTCGCTTTCTAATAGTAAATTCTCTGCAGGTGCATCGGGATCTTCTTGTTTTATAAATTGTTGCATAATAACTTCATCATTGATGTATATTTGTTCATTATTACTCATATGTGTTGGCTGTATCCTTTCACTTTTATTTTCGTTATTGAATAATAATTTTTCTGTGGTTGGTTCAGTTCTTTCATCTACTATACATTCTTGTTTAATAACTCCATTTACCATTGACGAAAGTTCTTCATATTTAAGTGATGGCAAGACATTGTTATCAGTTGGAGTAACATTTTCAATAGGGTTTTCGTTGGAATTATCACTTCTGTAATGCTTTTCTGATGACGTAGCGACATTATTTGGTTCTAAGTTTTGGGCACATTTAGCACTGAGGAAAGTCTGTGGATGCTCTCTGTGTATCTTCAGGAAGTGAAAGATCGAATCTTTAACTGAATTAAATTCTATGCTACATAGCGTGCAGTTTTTTTTTCTTTCTTTCACATCTTTAGGGCTGCTTTTGTTATATTCAGCTGAAATATATATGAAAACGTACCCTAAGCTTAGAAAAAATAATTTCATTGAATCTTGGTTCATATATTATTTATATTATTAGAAAAATCTTTTGGGCATTAAAGTTCTCAACAAATTATACAAAGAATATGATAATATCGGATTTAACTTTGCCGCTGAAATAGAAGATGCAGACTAAACTTTTATTAGTATATTTTGCGGTATTGGTAAATTCCTTTATGCTCTCTTGCATTCTTAACTAACTGCGTTGTTATTTTCTTATCAGTTTGTATAAAATTTATAAAATAAATTAAATGATATATACGTGTAGATTTAACATTATTAAATAAATGTTATATTTTTTTTTAATTTCAAATTCATTTTCAAAACAATTACTAATTTCTTCATATATACTAAAATATTATATATATTAAAAATAACTTACGTATATGAGTTCCAGTTTCATAATGAATCTTAAGTTCTTCCTCTGTCGTATATATCGCTTTGCAATCTTTGCATTTCAGTTTGTCCTCCTGATTTTCATTTTTACTCTTGCTTTTAGATGAATGAATTTGGATTTGTTTTTTATGTCTATAAAATTTAACTTATATTAAATTTATTCTTTCAGCCTAAGTATAATTACTTCTTATTAGTTTTTAATATGTGTTCATACTGTGACTTATCACCAATATGACGCTCCATATGACGATTGAGTGCGTGCTTAATAGCAAAACTTTTTTCACACTAAAAAATGAATGCTTATTATTAAATATTAAATGACAATAAATGAAATATTCACTTCAGTACAAGTGTAGGGCTTTTCACCTGTATGCCGTCTCAAATGTCGATTAAGTGAGCTCTTAGTAGAAAATGTTTGGTTGCACTAAAAAATTATACATTTATTTTAATTAATCTTATATAAAAATAAAATAAATAAACATTTACTTCAGTGCATGCGTAGGGTTTTTCACCGGTGTGACAACGACGATGTATTTTCAATTCACCCGGTGAAAAACATTTCTTCTCACAAAAGTCGCAAATAAAAGGTTCCTTTCTTGTATGTGCACGTTTATGCCTTTTGCAGAAATTAAAAAATATATATTTTGTAATAATAAATTTATAATTGTAATTATAAATTTTTCAAAATTTAAGTACAAAAATCATACAATCTTTCAGAAGTTGTGTGTTGCTTTTTGTGTAACTTCAGTAGCGTAGCTGTACGCAATTTTGCTTCACATTTGGAACAAGGAAATTTATCAACTTCCGAATGCGTTATAAAAACATGTCGTTCGTAACTTATTTGAGTTTTAAATGAATTTGGGCAATCAGAGCAATATATATGACCTCTCTAAAAAAAAAAAAATTAAATTAGAAAGAAAAAAAATAAATACATCAAAATACGTAATTAACAGTGTAAAAATTTCAAGATAACAGAATAATTAAGTAAGAACCTTAACTTATATTCTTAATATTAATTAAAGTACTAAGGTTTTAACATCAAAATAAGTTAATTTAATCAATTTACAACGTGTATATGAATCATAATAAAATTAATATATTCACTAATTTACTGATACATTTTATTAGAAATAAGGAACTTATTGAAATAAAAAAAATTTTATTTATTCACTTTATTGAATTTGTCTATCCAAAAATGAATTTCTTAAACGAGAAGATTAAAATTATAATTTTATTCTGCCTTTAAACGTAGATATACACATTTATGAAATTATCAGATTATGACAAACTTACATGAAATGTATCATAACTTTCACCGCAGCAAAAGCATATATTCTCCTTCTCTAGTTTAACCGCATCCTCTTCGATTTTCTGTATATTTTTTATCATTTCTGCTTTTCGAGAGTGATAACTACTATTCAAATAGCACACAGCTAAATGTTTTTTAAGCATCTGTAAAGTATAAGCAAAGTATAAGACCTAAATAAAAACTGATTTAAATAACAATTACAGTACTTACACCAAATACTTTATATGACTTCAAGCAGCTACCGCATTTGTATTTTGGAATACGATCCTTAACTGCTTCTTTTGTACCGTCAGCATTCAAATGGACCCTATCATTTATATTAGAAATTTTGTCCTCCGATTTCACTATATCTTTATCCGTTAATAAAAAATCAATGTTTGGGCCTACTTCGTTTTTAATGGAAATGGTTTTTAAAACGTCGTGACTCATTTTTTTTTTATTTTAGCTGTCCTGGTCAACTTTTCAATTTATTTAAGCGACCGTTTGAGTGAAAAAGCGTTCGTCTTTCAAAACAGTGAAGTAATTTTTTTAATTGTTGTTACTTTACTAATAATTGAAATCATTCATTTTCAACGAAGAAATATATTATTAAAATAATTATTCTTTACGTTATATATTAATATTATTATACTATCAGCAATACTTAGAAACATTGCAAATAGATAGTAAATAATTTAAATAGAATTTTATCTCTGCATCAAACAAATTTATTTATAATCAATTTTGAAAGCAATTTCCTTAATATATTATTCACATGCGTTTATATTAAGATACTAAATAAGTAATTAATAGTGAAATTTGCAATTTTTATTCGTATATTTTATTAAGTTCATACACATATAAGTCTTATAATTTTATCCAATTGTTGTAATAACAAAATCATTATACATGCATAGTTAATATCAACAAAAACAAACTCAAAAGTTTCGTTTACTTCAACTAATATTTGTTGCTTTTACAAAATGTGTCAATAAATCCAATTAAAAAAAGTACTGGGAATTGTTTCTCAACACCAGAGTTGCAATTTATTTAACGAGTTTTATTTATTTATTTATTTTATATATTGTTCTGATCGCAATACAAGTTGTATTTTCGCGTTTTGTTGCAATAATTTCTTTTTCAGTGATTTAAAAATATTTTGGTTAATGCAAACAATTGTTTTAATTCAAATAATATATGTTATATGCTCCAATAATTTAGTTCACTTGATTATGATTTGAATTAGAAATAGAAGCTGACGTTCCACAAGGAAACGTTCTTGGCCCTATCTTGTATGTACTCTACACATCTGATATCCCAATAAGTAACTCACTTGTCACCACAACGTTTGCCGATGAGATGGCAATTTTATGTCGAAATTAAAACATTGTGTTAGCTTCAAACCAACTGCAATCTTATTTATTTTGGGTGGAGAAATGGTTGTCAAAATGTCGAATAAAAATTAATGAACTACAATTTAAATTCGTCATTTTTACCTTAAATCGAAGCACATCTCCAACAATTTTACCAAATTTCATTCCTATACCACAAGCAGATAATATAACTTACTTAGATATTCACCTAGACGGACGGTTAACTTGGCGCAAGCATCTTCAAGCTAAAAAAATTCAGATGAAGCTCCAAGCCCCTAAATTGCATTCGTTCATTAATAACAGATTCTCCTTGTGCCTAGAGTATAAAATACTTTTGTATAACAGCATTATAAAACCAATATAGACTTATGGTAATGCTAATGCTTCAAAGCATTATCAAACCAATATGGACTTAGATAATGCTAATGAAATTATTCAAAGAGCTCAGTCAAAAATACTGAGAACAATCACTGGTGCCTCATGGTATATTAGGAATGAAAGTATCCTCCGAGATCTACAAATTCCCTTAGTTAAAGCAGAATTTGACAATATAAGAGAAAAATATAATAAAAGGCTGACAGAACATGTTAACCCCTTAGCAAGGAATCTCACATTTCTATCCATTACTTCCCGCCTAAAAAGAGCTGACCGCCCAGCCATGTATACACTGATATTGCGGCTGGAATAGCGAGGTGTAATATGAACTTTAAGAAAAACACAGTGAAGATTAAAGTACATAATTTGACTAACCGATTTAAGTAAGTTTAATTTAATTTATGTTTAATTCATAAATATTAAATATTGAATTTTTTTCTTTCGATATTTTAAAAAGGAGCTGGAAAAATGGGGACGTCAGGTTGATTACCTTCTGACTGACTCCATTTTAATCGCATAATAGTCATAATTGGTAGCAGTCGTGTGTACGATATGGGTATAGAAATTCAAAATATGTAGATTTGTTATTACATTTATTTTTAAAACTAATTGAATTTTTTATTACAGTTTATATATTGGAAGATAAAGCGCTATATCCAATATAATCGAAAATCTCAGTGTCGTTGACGTGATTATAGTCCGCCGAGATCTGAAAAGCAGAAACCATCTAAGGATTACAAGACGAATGCATGGGTTGGGATGTAGATGGATGGTGTTTGTAGTAAGGTTAATGTGAAAAAGGGGGAAGAGAGAACATTAGGTTAAGTTCAAAGGTCAATTGACTAAAATTTGTGTGCGTAGAGGGACAATAAAATATATGGGCGACATCATGGGGGATAAAGCTGCAGTTTGGGCACACATTAGGAATAGACGTGTTTATGCGTGATAAGTAACTGTTTAACACATGGCTATACTCTGATCTAAATTGAGCTAGGACAGTTCTTGCTGCACGGGAGAGACGCCGTTTTTCCTGAGAGATAACAGGCATCCTTAGTAGGAAGCAAGAAATCGACGAATACGTCTTGGAGGGAGCGCACTACTAGCCATGGCACCATTAGAATGTCCATCTGTGTGGAATTGCTTGGACAGCAGTTGGTTATGTTCTTTTACAAGAAGTAATTTTGATTCCGCATAAAGGTGGTCAACATGCAACATTAGATGACAGCGAGTTACAATCCGAAGAGCAGTGTGTGTTTTGACATGATTGGATGTTAGTCCATTGCTACTCACAGAGTTGTGGAGTCCATACTGGAGCTACATATGCCACAATAGGACGACATATTGCTTTGCATGTGCTTACCAGGGTTTCAAGAGCGATCTCTTGGGGTAAAGAGCTTTTAGCACGTTGGTCAATCGGTTACATAGTCGTTTGCATGCATTATTTATCTGACTCCCTCAAAGGGATCTGGGAGTTTAGACATGTAGAGATTAAAAAGAATCAGTGAAAGAACGCTGCCCTGAGGAAAACCTTGTTTCAATTTCATGGCTTTAGATACCTTGTATCTAAAATCAACAAAGGATGATTTACCTACAAGATAATTGCAGAAACATTGTTTTTGTGCTGTCAGGGATGGATGTTTTACCTAGGGCAACCGCATTGCCCGATTTCAGCTGAAGGATTATGCTCCCAGTCTATCATATGTTTGGGATGAGGTGTTCAGAATATGAGTAAAATTGAAGGCCAATGGCCCCAATGTGCTTGAGCATAAGCATTGAAATTCCATCTGGCCCAAGAACTTTCGAAGCCTTGGCTTATTTGATCACGTTGTATACATCATCTGTCTCCGAATGGCGGGCAGGCAGAAGCAACGTGCACAACATCGCTAGGAGAATTTGGTCTTATT